TTTAATTTCATGTATTGTTTTTCAGTAGAGTACCTTGGGTAACATAAAATGTTAAAAATTATTCCCATTTTATACAGTATTTCTCTGTATAAGTTTCTACAAAACAGGCCTCATGCTGTATAACAAAGACTGACAGTTTTCAGAAGACAACATACGAACTGTGTGTGCTGCTGTGATAACAATGAGGTGACAATGGTTCTGGTAAATGACAATGGACCAGTGGATTTGTGAATAGAGTATAAGAAGAAAAAATAATAGTACCCATTGACAGTGAGACATTACATTATTAGAACTTGTCATCACTAAATACAAAGCATCTGAAGGATAAAGGCATTAATTAAAGTATAAAAGGGTTCATGTTCATTTTTTTTTGTTTTTGTTTTTTTCCAATGCCCTGGTAAAAAAGTTTATTTTCATCACTATAATCTTGGATAAATGATTTTGTGTGAACTAATCCACTATAATTTCAACAAAGAATATACATGGTACAAAATCAGGGAAAAATGACAAAATATCACAGGTATTTCAGCAAAGGAAGAGAGCTCTCATATACCTACAGTACATCTCCAAATAGTAATCCATTTTATTATTTACAAACTACTAAAATAAGCAAAAAAAATATATATATAGTTCAAATTCTTTAGCCTTTTGAGAATTGACATTTCTAGAACAGTTTCAAACTGCAACTTCATAGCCAAGTAACTGTACATCCACAATGGCATGTGCTAGTGTGTAACACAGTCATAAAATAGACGTCGTTTGTACATGAGATTTCCATAATCTGGAAATATTGACTTAGCTAGTACCTTAAATATGACTGTATAATCCTAAAGATTTTATTTTTCTGACAAAGAGAAAATTAGTATTTACCATGTGGAATAAGAAGGTGATATACTGCCTAAATAAAAAATATATATTATATTTATATTCTAACACAAAAATTACCTTGTCTGCAGTTTGTTTCATTAAAACTTTGATACAACCAGTAATAATGAAAAATAAAATAAAAGATTTTGAACACCATGCATGTAAGAAATTTAAGAAAAATTATCACAAGCTAATATCTTGATGCCAAGTAATAAAAATGAATGTACTCTCCAAGCTAATATAGACAGGCACCAAATTTGCTTTCGAATGCAAGCCTATTTATGAAACTAATGTTAGGAACATCAATTTGCAAGCCATTCACGACTTTTGTCTAGCCAATGTTCAAGTGTAATAAACTCCATTTTCTACTGAAAATTTCAAAGCACTGCATTCTTTTTTTATAAAAAATTCATGACATTTTGCTTTTTCACATATAGGAAAAAAGAGCCCCAAGTCCCCCAATCAAGTACCATAATGATGGCCTGTCAAACAAATGTTATCAAACATTGCAGAACCGAAAAATGAAATATGAGATGATTCATGACATGACTGATGATAACATGCTTGCCAACGATTGTAAATGCATTTCTGTGTTACCATCCACTGCTGTTGCCATCTGGTCTGCCCAGCTTGCTCCCCTTCATTAAGTGTTCAGCACTGAGTGGAAATTGTTGGACTCTTCCTACAAGACAACAGGTACTAAAACGTTTGGTTACCCAATACTGAGATTATCTTAGCTGCTGGCCATGTTCAACCAGTAAACAGTTAGAGGAGCAGGCATGGGAGCATCACAGGCCCAGTCACAGTTCAGATTCTTGGGAGGCCTTCTGTGCCTCAACCAAGTGTTGTGAATATCCCAGCTGGGACCTCACCACTCAAGATAAGGTTCCAGTTAAACAGGTTGGGCCACGCTTGCATAAATGCACTCACTCACATAATCACACACTCAATCAGTCCCACACGTACAAGCATACACTCAAACTTGCATGTCTTGCAAACTCACAGGGTTCCCCCAGTTTACTGCAACAAGACACACTAGTTGCACAAGGCAGAGAGCAGCCTCAAGACTGTGCAACGCAACTGAAGTTGCAGTCTGGCCTCACTACCAAGTCTAGGCCCTCAGCACACACACTAGTACTAACACTGTCAATAACAATTTACACTATATAAAAATATTCCATTAAAATGTCCATTACTTCTTGGTCACGGTGGCACGGGTCCAGATGGGCCCACAGCTGCTGCTGGCTCACATATACAGAAGGATTTGTACACATGGGTGTGAGGCATTGTGCGGGCTATGTACATGGGTGAGTGGGTAGGCAGTGGGTGCAGCCTGGGTGCGCTGCTGGCAGTGTTGGGCTACTGGCAGTCATTGCCTCAACTGTCGCCAATCACCATCACAGGAAAGGTGGGCACAAGGCCAGCACAGCACATCAATGCAGCTGACTGACTCATCAGTTAATTGCCCATAGTGCTGCCACGTCTTTCCCACTGCACCACAGCCAGGCCCATAGCTTACTGACTGCTGACTCTGCCACTCACACACCCTCAATCACTGCTTAGTCGCGGTCTTTTGGCAGACGGAACATTACTGTCCTCTTCCTCTTCCTCTTCCTCCTGGTCTTCTTCACCAGCTTCCTCCTCTTCCTCCTCCTCTTCCTCTTCATCAGAATTTTCATCATATGCCACAAGACTCACCTAAAAATAAAAAGTAGATAAATATAAAAAAAGGGAACATCACACATGTTATTACCATATCACTAAAAGCAAAAATTAAAATAAGAATACAATGGATCTAAATCCAAAAAGTCTAACAAGCTGAAATTCCTGTCTTCTAAAAGCCCTTGTATATATAATAATTATGAATGCATCTGGATTCCCTATTATCACCCGTGAAAACATCCCATTTAGCTTTGGAATGTTTTACCATGAATAGGGTCACTAGGGTCACAACTGCATACCATAAGGTGCAATTTGATAAGAAAAAGTGCAGTAAATGAACAACCTCAAAACATTTAGAAATAAGTACAGAAACGAACACAGAAATCAGACTTTCCAGAGACGAACAGGAATTGTAAATTGTAATTATATACCTGTTCATTTTTTAACATTAGTATTTCTTATAAATATACTTGCATTACCATCAAATATATAAAAATAGTATTATCACCATTCAGTAACACACAATGTAGTACGATAAAAATAATGCTTTAACCCAATGGCAACAAGAATTAATCAGAACACACACTAATGCCCCAGGATTAATAACAGGATTGCTGGCACACAAAAATTTGAACTGAAGGAACAATATTCTTTTTCCCTTGTCTTTTATTCTGAGTAAATCACTTCTTTCTTTTCAATTAAAGAAGCTAAAGACTAAAGCTTATGACAACTTTGGAAGGTTCAGGAACTAGTGGAACCTGACCATAAAAGTACATGACAATACTATACGCAGAATAGAGAAGCCTCAACTGTCATGGCATGTACTATGCCATACAAAACTCTGGTTCACCCTGGAATGACATAAATGCCATCTAGCATCATCTGATTACAGAGAACCGCATACTTGTTTCACTACACTTATTAATAGACAATTGCGAACTAGCTGACTTTTGTCATAAATGCACTTTTTCTGTTGAAAATACAAGCTTTAGTTTTGTGCATGTTTCTTAACCACTAGCTGCCGGGTGGCATGTACGTACATGCCATGGCTGTTGTGGACCAAAAAAAGGATGGCAACGTATCATGACAATTCCCACGCCATTGGCTCATCGGACGGAATTTAATTTTCTCCAATAGTAGTGGCTTCATTTATATGGTAAAGATTTTAAGCAATAGTACCTATAATGAAGGTAAACCTTCAAAATTATAATATTTATATAAATTATGGCAAAATAAGAGCTTTAAGGTACCAAATGTCACTCGCAAGCTACCAAACAAACGGGAAACTGCCGATGCGTGCCAACAATCCCGTTTTTATGTCCACTTGCCAAACCTTTTTACCCGGCAGCATTGGGTTAAATGTCCTAACACTAACGGTTAACTAACAACAAAGACTGACTTTTAAAAAGCAAACATTATACACAATATAAAATACAAAACACTTACAATGCAATATTCCCATATACTTACAAAAAGGTCAGAATTGTTGTTTTACTTCTACAAAAGATATAAAAAGTATCCTTATACTGGTAAATTTTAAGCACTTTTCATTTCAATCTAAAAGAAAGAATTGACCTCAACCCAAAAGTCACCTCATAAATATGCAAAACCATATCAATACCATACTATTTGATTTATAAACACTTGTTGCTGTTCTTCATTACAGTTAAAGCCAGCTCTCTTTCAACCTACTAAATCATTCTGATCCAACCATCATTTATCATGGAATATCTTGTCAGAATTTGTCACTTCTAAGACTTTTATAACATGATGATAATGCTTAATTTCTCCTGAAATGCATCATTTATATGCATTCATTCTTCTCCCTACCCTTGCAACAAAAAATGTTATCTTCAACTATATTAACAAATACAACTTTTAATGTGCTTATAATCCTACCCTCTCTGCTGAAAATGTTATTTCCTTAATGCACACAACTACAAGAGCATATTTCTAAAACCTTTTTATATTCTGTAACATATAGTCTGTGCAAAAGAGGATCAAGTATCACATTTTTTATATTGTGGCATCTGTCTGTATTAACAGGTTTACCTTTATCTATATCCATCCATTTATGCAAATATATTTACCAAAACAAAGAATAGCCAAATTTTACCTTCTTGCGGGCAGGGACGGGAGACTTGTTGCCTTCTGAAGACAGAGCAGTGGCAGTGTTGTTGTTGTCCTTGTTGCCATTGTTGAGCAGCAGACCCTGTTTCCCTGTTGCACCGATCATCTTGCTAGCTCCATTCTCTTTTTCTACTTTTTCTGGTAAGATCACAATTAAATATTGTTATTCTTAAATGTCATGTGTCAACCATTAAACCTATTTTTTGTACATTGCATTCATTAACAAGCCCTGGAGACATGACAAAGACACTCACCGACGGGTGACAAACTCGTGTCTCTGGAGGGCAGAACAGAAAGTGCTTCAGTCTCCTCTATCTCTTCCTCATCGTTGTTGAACCACATCTCTTCCTCCTCATCAAGATCTCTGACATCTCTTCTATATCGTGCACCTCGTACAACACCACCAATCCTAACATAGAAACATTTGTATTACTTGCTTGTTATCAAAAGTACCAACTTAAATTCACATAGAGTCTTATCACTTGTATACTCTTAGAGTAAGAGGTAATTATTACAATTACAGAAAACCAAAACCAACACTCAGAGCCACTTACCCATCCAGGGAGGTATTCCTATCTCTGTCTCTCAGTCTATCTTGATGCTGCTCATATCGCATTCGCAAAGCGTGGAAGGTCTGTACATAGTCCACCTGGGCAAGGACCTCTCCAAACTTTTCTACTACACTCATCCACAATGACTTTATATCCTCCTGGAATAGAATAAGTGGGCAAATCAAATACACTGTCACTAACAAAATTAATTTATAGTCTTTTATAACAAAATGAATGTTATTAAACACATTTGAAATTACTTAATATGCTTTAAAACCCAATAATAAATAATAAAAGCTTGCTATCCATTATAAATGATATTGAGTTAAACTGGTTAAAATCATATTCAAACTATGGTTACTATCACTCAGATATTCAGATCCACACATGAGAGGAATGTGCCAAGACACTAAGACCAAACAGTCAAAATTGGTATAGACTTCAGAAGAGAAAAAGTGTGCAACAAAATACATACCACTTTGATATATTCAAACATTTCAATAATGGCAGAATCCAGGAGGTTATATCTTCCATTGTTGCGGACAAATGCATCCACTACTGGTGCAAACAGATTGGAATTGACAATGTGACGATTATAAAAGTCGTCCCGTAGGCCAATGATCTTTCTCATGAACCGTAAAGCACCTGCAAAGTGAGGAACAAAAAGACAGATATAAGTGCCAGAGCTCCTCAGTCATGAAACTGATATACAGCAATATGAACACATCAATTCATCATACAGCAATACCAAATGCTTTGTTTTATTTGAACACATGCAGCTTATAAACGTCCACACAAACAAAATCTACATATACTTACTGAGCACTAGGAATGTGTGTTTGGACTTCATTAGGACAAGGATGCGTTTGAGCAGGTCTCGTTGGACTATATAATTTTTGATGTGATAGGTGTGGTGCTCCACGCAAAAAGCCAGCAACTCCAAGATCAGGGCTAGGAGCTGTGCTGACGGGTAATCCTCGCGACCCACCTCATCCCCTACCGTGTTGGAGAGGAGTGGCGCTAGAAAGAAAGACAGTGAGGGTAGTAAGTTAGTAATGCAAGTATGATTACTAAAAAACATAGTCTAATCATTTGAATTTTCAAATTGAAAATAAATTTTAAAAGAAAATAACTTAGAGAGACAGACAGATACATAGATGGGTAGATGCAGATATAGAAAAGAGAAATAATACTAAAAAAATAATAATAATAATAATAAGGGAAACAAAAACAAAGTATGATGAACAGGAGGAAACAGGAAACCAAGAATGAGAGGAGGAAGAGGAAAAGGAAATAGTTATTGAAAATTATAAAACTGAAGACAGTAAACATGTAAAACTTACCAACAAGGTAGTGCATGGAGTGTTTATAAAAGAATGCGAGGAAGTCTGCTCGTTCAGACTTGGTGACAGTTGCCATCATGTTTTCTGGGTCAATGAGAATGCGAAGGATTCCCATTAACTGTACTGCACCACCCATCTCTGGATCAGAATCTACCACCATCTGCTCAATGATGATGTTTAACAGGTACTGTTCCTGGAAAAGGCAATGGCAAATATTAGCATCACTTTTTTCATACATAGTAAATTTTACCAAAAAATAGATAAATAAAATTAAAATAAATAATACAGATAATAATTACTATATCATTTTCATAAATCAAAAAGAGGACATAAAAAACCTTTGCAGTCCTTCTTACCTCTTCTGTTTTATGCTGCTGCTGCATCATGTATTCCCGTACCATAGAGGGGGAGAACTCCACAATATAGCTGAGAATATCAATGGAGGCAGACTTGATGACAGCATCATCCAACCCTAGAGTGATCTCCAAGGCTGAAAGCACCCCCAAGCTGGATAGAGTCTAAGGAATACACAAAAAGATATTTATTAGTACTTGATCAAGCTCTTGTTTTGGTTTCAAACCTAAAGCAAAAGAAAACAATTAATTCATATATGCTATCCAGCTCAAAATCTAATAAGTAACATGAGAGCTCCTTCGCACAGATAGGTTCTCTTGCCACAAGTAGAAAGGCCAGAAAGATACCTCAAAGTTCTGAGAACTTTAAAAACATGGCAACTATATTTCTGAACTTGCAACAAAAGATAAACCACGAAAAATCTGAGCTAGTAAAATGTCAAAAAATTACAATTCACACACTAACTTCCATTCTATTACTCAGCTCTTGTAAACAACAAGATCAGGACCAGACTATAATGTGGGGATTGCATTTCTGTCTATGAAACCCATTTTTCATCAACCTGTACTTCTGATTGATGAGTGCATACTTGCATGTTGAAACTTTATCCCAAAAAACAAATTCCACCTCAGCATCACAATGCAAATTATAATCTTCATATTTGAAAGAGGTGTCCTCAATCACACATGAAGTCTAAAGACACCCTCTCATACAACTCCATTTAGCAAATATATTCTAGATTTTATAAGTATACAAGAAATGTTATCAAAACATAAAAGTAACATACAAAGAAGCACAAAATTAAAAGGACATTTTCAACACCAAATGGATACCAACACCTCTGAATGTTAGGGTTGTTTCTATCTCTCCACAATCTCTTGTACAAAGGACCCATAAATACTGTATACTTCTTACCTTGAAAAAAGCTTCTCTACTGGTTGGCTGAAGGGTTTGTGAAAATGTACAGAATTCTTTGAGAAATAAGACCAAGTCACGTCTTTTCTCCATGGGCACATCCTCATCACTACTTAATTGGTGGAACAATTCACTTAAGAATCTCTCATCCTCCTGAAATATAAACAATAAGATTAACACCTAAGTGGAACACAATGCTAACTAGTGATTTAAAATTGCAAGTGAAAAGAACAAGAAAAAGCAATATCTATCTTTTGTAAAGTTGCTTTATAAAGTTCCATTATCATATATTCTGATATCTACTCACATTCATATTAAAAATTATACAATGACATCAAGCTTACATATCCTCTATTTCCTTCCCTCACTACAGTAAAATCCACTTTACTTATCAATGGTTACACAACTAAGATGGTACAACATCTTGACAGCAAGTAACAAAGAGGATATTAGAAATTCTTTAGGCAACTATAAATGCCTATTAAATGTAGACAAATATTAGAATTATCCACATTACACAAAATTCAATTCATAAAAATAAATAAATATTGCACTGTACCTGTATTAAAGAGACAATCTCTACTTTGTTGAAGAAGATGAAAGATGACAATGTGGAAAGCATGTTCTCTTCAAACACAGCTGGCGTGGGGAGCACCACATCCTGTATGTACTGAACGCGATACGTCTGGTGGATTTTACTTAGCAGCTCACTATTTTCAATGGGAATCACCTGTAAATAATAATAGTACCTGCTGTTAGTAAAAAGCAGACACTCCAACAACAGAAGAAAAAAAAATAACTCTACACTCAGCCAAGATGGAAACTGTTTGAAAATTTTTAAACAGTCTACATGTTAACTTTTTAAGTTCAGATGCCAATTCACAAATAAGGCGATTGCTTTGGTGCATACACATGAACACTCAGTCACCCTCTCTCTTTCCCTGTTCCTTCCTTCCAGTCTTTTCTTACTTGCCCATATTTACTTACTTTCGACATCAAGACGACAGGATAGCTCTGAAATGTGGGCACGGAGAAGGATGGAATAGATCAGCTGGATGAAGAGAAAAAGCGATGATGAAGTGAATGAAAAGAGAGAGAGAGAGCTATGTTGGAGTCTATATGCAATGCAAGCTGAGGCAGAGAGTGACCAATGACTGTAAAGTTGAGAGTTCTGATCAATGCATACACTCAACAGTGTTCCAAGTATTATGATGGAGAAAATGAAACCATGATTAAAGAAAGGAGGAGAGGAGAGGAGGAGAAGAGAGGAAAGAGGAGAGAAAAGAGAAAGGAGAGGAGAGAAAAGAGAAAGGAGAGGAGAAGCGAGAAAAGAGAGGAGAGGAGAGGAGAGAAAAGAGGAAGGAGAGAAGCGAGAAAAGAGAGGAGAGGAGAGGCGAGAAAAGAGAGGAGAGGAGAGGAGAGGTGAGGAAAGAGAGGAGAGGAGAGGTGAGAAAAGAGAGAGGAGATAGAGAGATGAAAGAGAGGAGAGAGATGAGAGAGAGGAGAGGAAAGAGGAGAGGAAAGAGGAGAGGAGAGAGAGGGGAGGGAGGGGGGGAGGGGAGGGAGGGGAGGGAGGGAGAGAGAGAGAGAGAGAGAGAGAGAGAGAGAGAGAGAGAGAGAGAGAGAGAGAGAGAGAGAGAGAGAGAGAGAGAGAGAGAGAGAGAGAGAGAGAGAGAGAGAGAGAGAGAGAGAGAGAGAGAGAGAGAGAGAGAGAGAGAGGGAGAGAGAGGGAGAGAGAGAGAGAGAGAGAGAGGAGAGGAGAGGGAGAGAGAGAGGGAGAGGGAGGGAGAGGGAGGGAGAGGAGGGAGAGGGGAGGGGGAGAGGGAGGAGAGGGAGGAGGAGGGGAGAGAGAGGCGGAAGAGAGGAGAGGCGGAGAGGAGAGAGAGGCGGAGAGAGAGGCGGAGAGGGAGAAGAGAGTGAGGGGGGGAAGAGAGGGGGAAAGGAGAAGGGGGAGGAGAGAAAAAAAAAGGAAGGGAGGGAGAGGAGAGGTGGCGGATTTCTGGGGAAGAGGGAGGGGAGAGGGAAGAGGGATGGAGATTGTAGAGGGTGATTTTTTATTGTATTTTTTTAGGGATTGTAGTTGATTAGTTGCGCGGATTGTATTCGATGTAGGTGGAAGGGAGAAGAAGAGAGAGTGAGAGAGAGATGCAGAGACCAGATCGAGAGTAGAAGTATACAGAGAGAGGAAGACGAGAAGAGAGATGAGAGAGTTGAGGAGAGAAGTTATGAGAAGAGAGAGTAGAGAGAGAGAGGGCGAAGAGAGAGGGAAGAGAGAGGGAGAGAGCAGGCGTAGTAGAGAGGGGGAGAGGAGGTCAGATGAGAGTTTTTATGGGATGAAGAGATGAATTGGATTGAGAGTGACGGAGAGGGACGGAGGAGAAGGAGGGGGGGAGGGAGGGGGAAAACAAGGGCAGGAGAGATGGGAGTATAGGAGAGGTTTGAGAGGGGAAGGTAGAGATGGATGTTTGTATGTGGGATGTATGAGAAGAGAGAGCGAGTTATTGATTATTATCGGTAGTTTAGGGAGTAATTAGAGAGTGCTGGATGAAGGGAAGAGAGAGGCGGAGAGGTGATTTAGAGAGAGGATCGTGATATATAGAGATAGTTGGTCAGTGTATGAGGGATGAGGGAGAGCGGAGTCAGGTGTTGTATATGAGTTTGGGGTACGTTTAGTAGAGAGGTTGGTGTAGTTGGGGGTGGGAAGTTAGTAGGGAGGGTGGGGATGAGGGAAAGGAGTCGTGTTGTTTCTCTCTCCTCTCCTTTCCTTTCCTCTCTCGCTCGTTTCTTCCTCTCTCTCTCTCTCTCTCTTCTTCTCTCTCTTCCGTCTCTCTCTCTCTCTCTCTCTCTCTCTCTCTCTTCTCTCTCTTCTCTCTTTCTCTCTTCTCTGTCTCTCTCTCGTCTCTTCATAGTCTCTTCTCCTCTCTCTTCTCTCTCTCTCTCTTCCTCTCTTCTCTCTCTCTGCCCTCGCTCCGGCTCTCTCCTTCTTGTTTTTTATTCATCTTTGCCCATGATACAGAATGCCTGGTGTCAGCATTTGTGTCGTTTTCTCATGATATCATTATTATCAGAATGTTTTCCTTGTATTGTTGACTCTCACTTGGTAATGTGCTAACCGTACCTTTCTGCAAATTAGAATTATAACATGGTTTGCACTGCCTGTTAGGTCACGAGAATAACATGCTTTCAGAATCCCGGTGATCCTTGTCTTTACAAACCTCACAAGATTAATAGTTAATTATGGCGAATCTGGGTTTTTGGCCCAGGAGTCTGGAATTAACAACACCTTTAGGATGATGGTCTTGCAGGGAGTCTGGCAAGTAAGTTTAGAGTGTGAAATACGGGGAGACTGATTGGGTGTATTTGTGTTTGGCTGGGTAGTTGCTACTGTTGGGTTTCACATTGTGGGGCCTCTTCGTGGGACGGCCCCTTGGGCTAAGCTGAGGCAGGACCACTCTCCCTCCCTGTAGTCAGTTGTTCCTTGCGGAGTGTTAGAGTTGGTAACTGATGGTGTGCCTGACCGGTTCAGGGAAGCCTTCAGGGAGCGAGGTTCCTTGATTTCTCACCAAGTTACCATGAAGCACTGTGTGTAGCTACATGTTGTGCCACTTTCTTCGTCGTATAAGGCTGAGGGCGTGTGCTGTGTGCAGAGCAGATATCGAACCTCCCAACTATCGGTAAGCTGCTTTTGATGGCATGAAATTGTTATCAAGTAAGTTGGAACAAAAATAAAGCCTCCCGTGTTCATGGGAAATATTTTGAAACAGCGTGTTAAGAGAGCTTAACGTTGCTGTCTTTCGATGGATTTCGTTACGCAGCTGCTATCCAAATGAGTTAACAAGAATCACTGTGTGAGAGATGAGTGGAGGTCATCATCTTCGTTGAGATGTCAGTGTTCGCTGTATCTATGGGAAGGAGGCTGTTGCCATTAGGAGTAACCATAGTTCTCTATGAGACTGGGATTCTGGTCCATCAATCCAGCCAGAGATTAACGGAGAGGCAAGGGGCAGGTCGGTGCAGGTGAACTCCTCTTCAACCCTGGCATGCAAATTTACGTGGCGAAGGTGTATGTGACAGTTTGTGCTGCCCAAACACTTAAACAGCTGTGTCCCAGCTTCCTCACCGCATACCCACACACACAACACAGAAGTCCAGGGGCAGATTGTCCAGTCCAAATTCCCCGTTTCTATGCTCGGTGTGCATCCTTTTTCATTTTCCATTGGGCTCATTCTAATTCGTCGTGAGAAGCCAGTTTGGGGCCGGCAGGGCGGTGGGAAGGAGGGGGTTCTGTCTACCAAAGGAGGCTGTTAACGGTGGTCCGATTCACCCAGGGCTGTCGTTCTCGAGCTGCAATCACGCTCCGAGTAGGTTGGGGCAGAGTGTGAAAGATACGAGAGGTGGGTGAGGGCCGAAAGCAAAGAAATAAAGTAGGGGGAGAAGAAGGAAGCAGCGATGGGGCGTGAAGCATGACAGTTGGGCGGTGAGTGGACAGACCAAAAAAGGCTGTTCTGAGCGCGAGGGGTGTCGTGGGGGTTGGCGGGCAAGCAGTGTAAACAATGGCCGTGAGTGGCGCAAGCGAAGCCGAAAGGAGAATAAAGCAATCTAGATTATATGGAGAAAATAAGATGGTTATTGTGCGGGAAGGAAGGAACGGACTATGTACAATCACTGTGACATCAAGAGTAATACTGATGTTGATAGAGTTATGTGGAGCTCTAGTTGCATTGATGGAATCTTCGAGAAAAGGGAGAGGTTTTTTGGTGAGAGTTGATTGGTAATGGGAGTAGGAAGAGGGTGGAGAGGGTAGGAGATTGGCTGATGATGTAGGAGAGAGAGAGTAAGAGAGAGAGAGAGATGATGAGTTTATGAGTAGTTAGTTAGTAGTATGAAGTAGAGAGGTATATTGTTATTTTTTGTATTAGAGTGTTGAGTATTTGATTGATTAGATTTTTGAGTTTTTTTGTTTTTTTATTTTTTTTGTTTTTTTTTTTTTATTTTTTTTTTTGTTGTTTTGTTTTTTTTTATTTTTTGATGTTTTATATGGGAGGAGGGAGAGGGGTGGTGGGTTTATCCTGGTCTCTTTCACACGTGTCCGTGAATTTCCTGATACTTTGGACTGCAGGTTTTTTGTCCTTTTTTCTCTCTCTTTTTCTCTTTTTCTTTTTCCTTGTTCGTTCTTTTTTTATTTTGTGTTTCTTCTTCTTTTTCTCTTCTTTTCTATCTTTCTCTTCGTTATTATTGCATTCCTGTTCTCTCTTATTGCTTCGGATGAGGGGAGAGATGAATGTCTACTGATCCCAGTCATGTAAGAGTCATGATGAAAGTACTTAAGAGCAGTATGATCGAGCTTCCATGCACTGATCTATTTGAAGATGAGAGCAGGTCTCTTTATGTTAGAGAGAAGTTGTTCTTCCTCTCTCTTCAGCATCCTCTTCTCTCGTTCTTCTCTCCCGCTTCTCCCTCTCCCCCTTTCTTCTTCTATTCTTTAGTCTGAGTATTGTATGCAGAGACGAGGCGTTTCATTGTAGGTAGTGATGTTTTTCACCACAGGCAGATCGCGCTTTTCGATTACTTTGATCGTTAGTCAGAAGGAGAGAGGAGAGGAGAGGAGAGAAAGAAGAGAGGAGAGGGGGAAGAGTGGAGTGAGAGCGTGAGAGGAGAGAGAAAGGAGAGGAGAGAGGAAAGGGAGAGGAGTAGAAGAGGAGAGGAGAGAATAGAGAGGAGAGGAGAGAG